ACACACACACACACACACACACACACACACACACACACAGACTGTGTCAGCTCTCTATATTTAGTCCAGATTACGAGGGTCGGCCTGATACGTGTCAGATTATGAAGACGAGATAATCTCAGCTCGTACAGTCGATCTCCTGGAAGGGATGATTCTCCACAATATGTTTTGTCGCTCTGGAGGATTTACACAAACTGAAAATGTTCCTGGAGCAGCCACTTGTCGTTCCTCTCGTTTTCATCTCTCTCTTTCACCTGAAGCAGATGTTGGTTTTTAATCACGTTTTACACGTTACCATCCTCTGCTTTTCCCACACGCCAGCCTCCCATGATGATGTTATGAGGTTTGAATATAATCACATGCTGTAAACATTGAGGGGGGGGGGTCTTTACTGTCCCATTCAACAAGCCCTGACGCTCAGTAACCAGAGAGCGCTCAGCACCATAGCTCTGTGGTGAGGTAAAGGGTCAGAGGTTTGAGCCGCTCGCATCACCACAGCCCACCTTCAGGAGCCCACCAGCCGTGTGACCGCTCTCTGCTTACACACGAATACATACGTGTCCGTGACTGAGTCACACACTACAGCTCATGCAGCAAAAAACAGCAACATAACACGAGCTGCGCTGAGCACCATGTTGGGAAACGAGGGTGTGCACCTGAAGCACGGGAATGTGGCTTCAAAGGCTGGACTGGTAGCCTGTGACGGAGATAGACACACACACACACACACACTTCCCCTGGCGTCTGCTGGGCACTGATGCACACATTTTTTCCCAGGTGTCTGTCTCGGTGAAATCTGTCCGTCTGGAAGTTGATCTGTCAGGACTCCGGTTCTCTGAAGCCGGGCTTGTTCCAGTAATCCTCCCGTGTCATCGCCCAGTCTATAGATAAAACTCTCTCACCGGTGACAAAATAACCGGTGAATGTGTCTTCGAGCTGGTGATGCACTCTCCCCGGAGCTCGGCCGGTAAAGGGATGACGAGTGCTGCTATTTTTGGTTTTAGCAAAAACGATGAGAGACACTTTGCGACGTGCATGAATTTTGGGCTCATCTTTTAGAGCGGAGTTCAGGTTCCTGCTCTGGTTGTGAAACTGAAGCATGAGTCATGTGGACGATGGTGTGATCGTGCTGTCACAATCCAGAGCAGAGAGCAGAGTCGTACAGTGTGTGAGACAAAGACGAGATCTCATCATAAGCAGGCGTTAGACGAAGCGTGAAGAGCAGGAATATAAATAATATCATAACAGTTATGTTGTCCCTCATTCCAGAGAGAAACAATGATCGTTGATAGAGGACGATTTCAGGTTTAGTTTTGGGTGGGAGAGGGGGAGGGAGAAAATTAAGCCACAGAGGAGAGAGAAATATTTGCCAGGCAAATATTGGAATCATTCTAAAAGTATAATAAAAGTTTATTAATTTCAAGAAACTCAACATTTCTGTTTCTGGAAAATGTTTTGGAGTTGATTGTTAACTGTCAACTTGGCCAAGATGAAGGAAGGAAGTAATGTCACGAAGCTAAAAATATCAAAAGACATCACTTCACTAACTGAGGGACACGAATTCCATGTTGCGTTAAAAAGAGAAATGAAACGTGCAGCATATACCGATATGACGAAGGAACAATAAGTACTGGAGAGAAGGAAAACACCTTCCTTTGAAAATAACACGTTTGATTTTTCCAACCTGTTAATGTGAGAATATTAAATTTTAATTCATATGTGACGTCATATAGCAGAATGTTACCAGAGACAGAAAGAAAGAAGGAAAGAAAGAACGACGGAGTTTGTTGCCAAAGTGGAGAAAACTTCATTTTTATGACTGTGGGAATAGATTTCTCGTCCCCACCCTCCTCCTGTCAATGAGTTTCTTTCTTTCTTTTCTTTTTCTCTCCGTCTCTCATCTGCGTCTTGTCGTGTACGATTAAGGCCTCATAAATTTGTGTGTGTGTGTGTGTGCGTACGTGTGCGTGCGTGTGCGTGCTGGTACAAACTCATGCCTGTACATGAACGTTTTGAACATGTGCTCCTGCAGAAAATGAGTGTGATTGATTTTGATCATGTCTGAATGTGCCTTCATTTGTTCGAGGTCATGAATCCAAAGATGTGCAGGTGCGAGAGCTTCACACACAGTTTGATAACCTCTGAAGGAACACGCATGCAAATATGTGCATGTGACGTGTGAGCGTAAAAACAACAGTATAGTAAAATAAAGTGTCAGACCGAGTGAGTGCATGTTTAGAGTGAAGTGCAGTGAATGTGCTGACGTTACACTGGATACCTGCAGACACCTGCTTGGCGCCAGAAGCACCAGGACGTGAACTGTACCCGTTGACAGATGACTGATGTGTGTGTGTGTGTGTGTGTGTGTGTATTGATGATGTCAGGAGACGTGTAATGCAGCGATGTCGGACCGAGGCTAAAGACAGATGAGTGAGGATTATCATGATCTCCATTAGTTAAACCTGTTATTAACCTCTGCAGAAAAACAACTCAGAGAGGTGAGTGTTCTTTCTGTCGTTCTTTCTTCCTCTCGGTCGTAAAACAAAGTATGTAACAGGGCACGGATGTGTACCGTGTGCAAACAGGTGAGCTCACACGGAGGTGAGTTGTGTAAACAGCTTGTAAGGTAGTGGATCTGTGAGCAGACGTACAGAGGCAGGTTTGTTTAAATACAGTAGAGCTACTGCTGTTAGCACGCAGAGCACAGGGAGAGTCTGTGTACGTCTGTGTACGTCTGTGTACTTCCGTGTACATCTGTGTACCTCTGTGTACATATGACCTACAGTCGACTGAAGCAGCCTCATCAAAGAAGATGAGAGTATTAGCATATCTATACTTGCATACTATATGTATGATGTGTATTTTGCAAAAAAAGCAAATACTCTACAATACAAATACTATTTTTCAGTTATCAGTACTTGACTTGAGTGTTTATCTTTCTAGCAAGTTTCTACTTTTACTCGTATATATTACATCATTATATATATTTCAACTCAAATACCTGAACTTACATTTTTGAAACAAGCTCGTTATTTAAATGTGAGAAAGACGATTCCTCGTTCTGTACGTATCAGTGCCGATCTCACAACTTCAGAGGTAACGTGATGCAAAAGACGCATCAAGATGAACTTTGTGTTTTCCTGCCCACACAAACTCAAAATTATAATCTCATCTCAAACTTTACACTTCCTGTTTGGATGCAGAGTCACTTAGCAACATTATCCAGTTTTATGATCAGCCTCCTTGATTCCTTCATCTCAGTCCATGTTGCGTCTTCTCTCTATCTGCTTTGTGCACAAGATAACTGCACCCTACATCTGGAACGCTCCTTTTTCCAAAGAATTCATCCGCCTGTGTGTGTGTGTGTGTGTGTTTATGTGGGCACCTTAACAATGGCGTCTCAGTGTGCGGGTCTGAATGTTCTGACCAGTACTCAGGGTCAAACCTAATGAATGCCCGTCCACTCATAAACACCCACACTGGGTACAGCTGGGTCGGTCCTGGGCCTGGAAACGCTCCTGTTAGCATGAAGTCAGGAATGTTTCAGCAGCTAATACATTTTGTCAGAGTGAGAGACGTGCGCTGAACTACCAGTTCACAATATCATTTCTGAAGTAGCACTGCCCCTCAGTGGTGTTGAGATGAACTACAGGCTCCGAGGTCTGTTTTTCCTTGGACGTCACAAAGTAAATCAAACTGTGAGTTACCTGTACGGGCCGGCCGTCCTCTGTTCCAATCATATTCCTCCATTCCAGTAGCGATCTCTGCAGGGTGTCCAATCCCGTCTCCCACAGCCGCACGTACCCGCCCATATCCACTGTGACCACGCCCCCCGAGCCAAGGGGAGCGATGACGACGTCGGACTCAGACACTTTGGACAACCAGCTGGTGTAAGGCGACACCGTCCTCGACCTGAGAAATAGAAATATGTGGGAGAGACACTAAGACGATTCATCAAAAGGACGTCAACATATTTTAATTCCTTTGATTTGTAAATGATGTCAATATAAAAAAGTTGTTTTTAATAATGGTGACATTGATGATGATGATCAATATGTTCTTACAAAGTGACACAGTGAGAAACAGGTGAGCTGCGTTTACCTCGGGACGGGAATGTATTTGACCTTTTTGGAGCTGAGGTCAGTCACCTCCAGATACGCCGCCGTCATCGGAGGTGTGACGTCTGAGTGACCAACAAGAAAAAACAATCCCATCTACGTTTTAATTCATTTTCCGAGTTGCAAACAAAACTTTAATTTGATGATCTGAACTCTGACCTTTGGGGTAGACCTCCTTCAGGGGCACCTTGGTGGGCGGAAGGGCTCGGACAACCTGATTGGCTGAGAGCAGACTGACGCAGTTCACCTGTTTGGCCGCACTGGACTGAAGCCCGCCTCTCAGGAACATGTGAGCCCCACTCTCGCTGCTCTTCATCGCTGACAGATCGACAGGCCTCTTAAAGCTGTACACCTCGTTAGGGGACTGGACCAATCAGAGATCAGGGATGAGTATTCACAAAGCACAGCTGTTTTCAGACGTGACCTTCAGAGATCCTCGGAAGGTCACGTCTGAAAACAGCTTTAGTTTTGATCCATCCTGCTGCAGAGCAACCGGCTTCAACATTCAATTACTTGACATCCTTCGAGTGCTGAGAGAAATCGGACTCACCATGAGGTCTGGGAAGCCGACAACGACCCGTGCGAAGGAGCCACTGTCGGCCAATATGCGGTTGGGTGAAACAATCTTCTGGTTCAGGGCGGCGCTGAGGTTCTCGTTGGGCAGCTGGTCACATGACAGCATCTGCGGTACGGACACCTCAGCTGGGAGGAGCGTGGAGGGGGACAAAGGCAACAGATAGAAATACTTTTACACACAAAGTGAAATGAAGTACTGCCCTGCGTCAGATTCATACACTTCCTGTTCTTGAAGAAAATCAAATAGGATAAAAAGATCTGCTCGGTTTCACCAACAGTGTTTCATTATAGTTCAGAGCCTCAGGAGAGGACACAAAGCTCTGGTGACCTTTGTCCAGAGTCCATCCTGAACGTCCTCACTGTTCGGTACATACCTGAGTGGGCTCCGTGTCCTGAGCTGACTGCGTCCTCACTGATGCTGTGGAGCTGACACACTCCTGACTCCTCTGCTGCCATGTGCATGGGTTTGGTGAGCAGGAACTTCCTGTGTAGTGAAAACCCACAGTAACATTCAGTCATATTAAATCTATGATAATCTTAATAACAGTCATTCCCTGTTTGCTGGTATGGAACAGTCGTCTCTCCAGAACGCAGCAGCTTGTTTCCTAGCTGGATAATATTACACCAGTATCTTCACTGGCTTCCTGTTGGAATCAGGATTGTGTTGGGAACCACTTTTTAAAATGGAGCTGTTGCATCTTCATCACTGAGGTCGACCAACCTGATGCTTCTGGATGTTTGAGACCTCGGCTCAGAAATAGAAATAGAGGTGATCTTTGCAGGGGCTGCGTCTAATCTCTGGAACAGTTTATCTCTTCATATCAGAACCGCTCTGACCCCAGAGACGTTTTAATCATTGTTCAGACCCACTTCAGTTTAGATTGAGACCTTGATTTCATCTTTTATTGTCCAATATTTCAATGGTTCATTATTTATGATGTTTAACATTTATTGCTTTTGTATTTTCTAATTATTCTCAGTATTCTTTTATTTTAATTTCTAGCCTTTAAGCCAGCGGTTGTTTTAAAAGTGCTATGAATATATTTGTATATTTATTTATTTGATTTACAATAAGAGAGTGCATGAGGGAGGATCTGAGATCCAGAGCTCACTTGTTAGTGTTGCTCTCCAGCAGGAGCCAGCGATCCTCTGCCACGAGGAAGACGGACTTCAGGTTGATGGGGAGGGAGATGGAGTGAACCTGGCCCTCCAGCACATCCAGCACCTCAAGCTGGTTGCTGCAAACACAAACACACAGAATCTGTCACGTCCTGCGGCTGGAAAAGCTGCGTGTTGAGGATAAGAGCAGAGTTGCTCACCCGCCCTCCTTGTAGAAGAGAAGCCAGTTTTTGTGAGAGAAGTCGCGGCACATTTTATGACCTCCCTGCAAGAACAAAATACGCACGATGTTAAAGTAAAATATCGTTGCATCTGCAGAAACTTGATGATTCGACTCATTGAGAGCCACCAGCTGCCTGACACCTCTGACCTGCTGCTCTTTACTGCTCCACCAGTTTGAAGCTCTGCCGGCGGGTTGATCCCCGTCTGGAGACAGCAGCAACCTCCGCACGGCGCCTGTCACCAAGTCCAAATGGAGCACGGTGTTACTCTGGTGAAAAAGCAAAATGAAAGAATTAAAACTCCCGTATGAGACTGGCCCCGATGAACTTAATGCACTCATACCTCCACACACCAGGCCTCGTCGACTGTTACGTGAATTTTATTTGGATCTCAGAAAATCAAGGTCAGAAATATCAGTTTTTCAATCAGATTCAAGTGCGTTGATAGAAACTATGAACTTCACAAGTACTTAAGTTTGAGTGTTCGTGCTCCTCGTCAGGAGTTTTATTATTATTGTTATCGTTTAGTAACACAATGTCACCTTTGTGTGTGTGTGTGTCTGCCAACCTGCTCCTCGTGCAGCACCACCTGTCCGTCCAGAGGATTCCCGAGAGGAGCGATGGTGACAAAGGGCTGCCAGACGCCACTGATGGTTCTGGGGAAAACGTCGTACAGCTCCATGCTCTGGATGGTGTCACCGCGCTCCCTCATGGAGAACAGGGACACCGGGTTACACGTGGCCACATACAGCACATCTGCAAACGAAAACAATACATCCTTCATCCTTACACTTAAGAAGGTGTTGTACGACAGTGTTGGTTGTGTGTGTGTGTGTGTGTGTGTGTGTGTGTGTGTGT